CTTGGGATGTGTTATTAACAAATCAATGAAGTTAATTAATATTTACTGCTGCTACGAGCAGGCTGCCTACTTGGTAATCATTATAGCTAATTAAGTATATTTGTCTTACATTTCTAGTTTTTTTCAGCTGTTACCAATATTTTCGACCATAAAAGCTGATCTCACATAATTTGGGTAGCTTAGATGTAAATTAATCTTAAATCCATTGAGGATTAATTTATTGTATAAATTATTTCAGTAAGTTTTTCCAAACATTAACGAATGGTAAAAATTCTTCTTTTTAGGAAACTAAAGAAGATCCTCGATTGATACCTTTGAACCTGTTGATATGTTTAGTTGCTAGATACTTTGACCAAGGAGATCTTGCCGATAAAACGTAAACTTTTACCATTAGAATATAATAATGAGAGAAAAAAAGTATGAAATTATACACCATTGGCCAGGCATATATCTATAAAATGAATCACTGACCCGATGTATATGCAGAAAAATATTTCTATATGGAATAGACCTAACAAACTGAAATGTACATCAATCATGCTATGTTATGAAAAGCATTCACTACTTGTCGAAAAAGAAGAAAGTAGCACTTATACATTTTAATACTGAAACTAAATGCTTTACAGCTTCTTCAGAAGTGTTCAAATACAACACAAACTGTAACTGACAGTATACAGTTTCATACTGTTAGTTAGTGTGTTTTCGTGGAACACTTCCGAAGAAGCTGTAAAGCAAAACAGTGAGTGTCCAATTAAAGAAAACTAACAAATCTGGTGTTATAAGGTCGTTTATCATTGATATTAAAATGTCTTATGGGCAATACAGAAATTAAATTACGAATATTTATACCTTAAACTTTTCATATTAAACTCGTATTATTTTAAAACCTTAGTCAGTTAACTTAAACTGCTATGTTAAGAACGTTTAAGTTATTCCATAGACATTAACTATCCTTTATTGCATAAAGTTGAAAAAAAAACTTTAATTAGAAATTTTAAATTGCCACTAACATTGTGGGTTTTTTTTTATTATTTTCTTTTAAAGAAAGAGTGAAAGTAAATAAACTAAATTTTTAAATACCTGTTATTTTTATTATCAAATTGAATAATGTATCCATTAAGATTTGCTGGGAACTCAAAGGTAATAAACCTGTAATAAAAACTGTTTGGATCTTCTTTTTGAAGACTATTTTAAGACATTTTTCTTGAAAATAGTATCAACATTTAAAAATACTTATATGATATTCTTCAGAAAGCAGAAGTTTCTTGTTTTAATTAAAGTTATTAAACAAATTTTATTTAGTTAAGTGTTTTACTTCGTAAAACTTGTGTCCAATTTTTTTAATCATAAGATTATTTTTTTGTCAATTAAAAATTTGAAATTACGTTTTTGGTATTCTTATTAAGAATAATAAGAATACCAAAAAATAATGTGAAGTTTGCAAATAATATAAAAAAAAATCTTATGATTAAAAAACTTTGATATAAGTTGTTTATTGAGCATGACTAGAGACACATCTGAGTTTTAGGTAATTTTTATAACTTAACTAACATTGATACGTTAGATAATTCTCTAGTTTGTATTTCTTTCATCCTGTAATGTTTTCTTTGTTAGGGAAAACAACTTTGCTTGGGTCAGTGGTCAAATTACAGTATTCCAATAAGAGTAATGTTGTTTCTGGTACGTGATAAAGTTTTTACAAGTTGTAAGGAACAGGAATTATTAAAAAAATGAACAGTACTGTCTAGTTTCATTATTACATTCAACTTGGCAGAATAAAATCTTAATACGCCTTTTCGATATCTACGTGGGAGGGTTTTACAGAAATGGTCAAGTCTTTATATAGAAAACTTTCATATTTCAAAGATTCTTTGGCCAAGTGTCAAGGTTTTCCTTTATGTGTTTTCTCTGCTTACCTGGGCTTTTCAAAACATATTGTTTTAGTTGTTCCTAATATTAAAGTAACAGATTAGACGGAAGGCACCTACCACCAATAGTTGGGTTTGAGTGTCACTCTTATAATGCACCCATAGTCTTAAATTGTGTAGAGCAATTATTATATTGTGTATGAGATATAATAAAACGTGAACCACAGAACCTAAGCTCCACTGTATCGTACTCTAACCGCTAGGCTGTACTTGATCCTATCCTTTTAGATGAAACAAAATCAATTTTCTGATGTGGGAAAGTATCAGTTTTAGTTGAATGACTACTTATGTATTTAAGAAAAAGATCTTTGGGGAGAAATAAGGTATTCCAATGCTTCACTAATCATGGTTGAAACACACCTGAAAGAGTAGTAACAAATGTAGTTTTTACCATATTAGATTGACATAATGTTGGTAAGACCACCTAAGGGTGTTATGGAAATTCTCTTAACGAACAGCTTATCAAATAGGCAGTGATAACTTTAAATTTTGTGGAGTAAGTACAGAAAAGCAAACAGGTCATGCATGGGGAGTTCTGTGATCATTGTCACTATCGAAATTTTAAAAATGTATTTTTTTTTGCACATTTGTTTTTATTTTAACACTGATAAGTTAGTTAAAGATTTTCATATAAAATATTCAGAGAGTAATTAGGAGTTTTATTTCAAGTGTTCTGGGTATATTAACTATTATTAAATAATGCGTATTCAGAAACTTCGTTTTGAAGAACACTAGGTAATTAACATATTATTTCATGACTAAATTAGGGGCAACTTTATTAAATGTAGACTTGCAAAACAGAAAAAAAAAATTGTCTACTGCCCACTAATTCATTTTCGGACTTTTGTGATGTGTCTACCGTGAGTAATTGAACCTTGAGCCAGCAGGGGAACGTCCACTAATCTAACTGATCAATAATTGTAACTGTACTTTAATGTAAAACTTTACACACTGGTGTACCATCTTGGATTTTAATACAAACACTATTAATCAAGATTATAGTAGGCTGGTGTATTTTAAATAAGAGGGCAGGATGAATAGATCAATCAAAATGTGTTTATGAGGTTTCGAAAAGCATCAGGCAATACCCGTTACGAATTACTGCTTTATAACATCGTACTTAACAACTACAATAAATAAATAAATAATGATTAATTAACTTAAATTTGCTTTACTTCCCATTTGACTTAAATTCAGATAGATGACGACGTACTGGATATGAATGAATTTGTTTTAAACGTAATTCAAAAGAATCAACACTTCCAAAACTTTTAATTAACAGCTAGTTTTTTACAATTCGCCCAGTTATAATTGGAAATATCAAGAAGTTTAACTATTGTTACCGAATGAGGCTTAATACAGTTGAACACCTAAAGTCAGAAAAAAGTTATAACATTATCGTTAGAAGTATAGGCTAATACGTTTATTTACATACGACAATTACACTGTAAGTGGTTTACTCACGACACCACAACAAATTAAGGCTAGTAAATATTAGTGTAATACAGAAACACTACCAGTTGCGCAGACTATTATGACACCTGTTAAAAACACTGGAAACCCAGTTTATTTAAAAATGAAAACAACTTTCACCGTTAGTATTGGAAATACCACCTACTACTACTACTATTATTTATAGAACAAGTGACTCTTCGAAATTGGAGAAGAATTAATTACTGCAAATTTGGTGTAGAGGACTTTAGGATATTTAAATCACACATTACCACTTACGCATTTAATGCTCAAAATATGAGAAAAAAGAAGGTAGACGGTCAAAATTACAAATTCAGTTACTGACATCCTTTATGAAATACTTATTAACGCAATCCTTATAAATGGGAACTTACTATATACTAGTTTGTTGTTGTTTATTCAAAAAAGTTACTATCCAAAGTTTCATGTCAACAATAATACAATATTTCTAAAGAACAAAACTAACTTGTCATAAAACATTAGTATTAGGCCTAGCTGTTATGGTTGATATACCGGTATACACTCTTCTTGAAACACCGAAAGGTACTGAATAACGAATGTAGTATTAAAAATATAATAGGCCTAATATCTACTGATAAGTATAGTTAATGATAATCATAGTTCGTTTGCTTAGAAAAGACGTTCATACCATAACGACTGTTATTGTAAAGTTACTTATATTGACTGAATGATTGGTAGACCACTACTGCCTCTTTCCAGGGTGGAACGACGTTTCTATTCCCACGTTGAACACTTACAAGTAAACACTGAGACATACGTACATAGGAAGGAATTCTTATCACAAGAACGCGTTAACCACAAAAAAAAAAAAATCGATACAAAGTTAACATTTTTGACTTAAACCTGAAGAAGGCCTTATAATAGCTAGTTAATTCATAAACTCTTGAAAACTGTAAACATAACTAAGATTCCTGTACCTGGGAAATCATAAAATCCTTAAATTACACTTACCGGCTTAATTAGCTGCTTGGGTAACAGAAATAATAACTAGTAATAAAATTAGGATATATGGTATATAATAAACTAGTTAATAAAAGTGTTTAAAAAATATGGTTTTTATTTAAACTATTAACCAAATTTTCTTGTTCATTCGTGTAACTAAAACGGATCAGTAATTTTAATCCAATAATTATATTTCAATCTGTTGATGATATTTCATATCGGCATATGGGTAGGGATGTTACTATAGCAACCCAAAATAACTAGCGTGCCCTTTTGGAACTGACACTGTTGTTTTGTGGAAGGTTGTTGTTTATTATTAAGCATAAAGGGCTATCTGTGCTCTGCCCACCACGGGTATCGAAACCCGGTTTCTAGCAGTGTAAGCCCGCATGCATGCCACTGGGGGACTTTGTGGAAGGTTATCATCAATCTGTTAAAAACTAAATTAAAAAAAAAAAGCAGGTATGTCTTATGACTAAATCAACTTCAAGGTAGCAAATATTTAGTGATAAATTTTGATAACCTAAATTCGAAAATACATCTAAAAGAATCAAAATGCGAAAAATTGGATATAATTAAGTATGGAAGGCAGCTAGTCATCATCACCCACCGCCAACTCTTGGGCTACTCTTTTACCAACGAATAGTGGGATTGGCCGTCACATTATAATGCCCCTACGGCTGAAAGGGCGAGCATGTTTGGTGGG